ATATGTTCGTCATCCTGTTTATAAACCTCACGTTTTTTTTAGTTGGGTTGTACTGGGGTAAAGATAAGCCTCTAAACTGCAATCCTTTTTTGTTAGAATTTGTGAACGAAACAAAACAATTATATCAAACAGGGTTTCAAACAGCATTTGGTATAAAACAAGTAATTATAGATGCTATATGTTGTGATTTACCTGCAAAGAGTTTCACCTTAAAAAACTAAAGGACATACTGGTTATTATTCCTGTACTAGGTGTTTAATAAGTGGTTTTTATTTTGAACATAGAGTCTGTTTTCCCAGTACAGATTGTATTACTAAGAGAACTCACATAGATTTTTTAAATAGAACTGATGAAGAATTTCATATGACTGATGAAGTTTCTATTATAACTGAAATACCTGGTATAGATATAGTAAATAGTATTAGCATTGACTACATGCATCTAGTTTGCTTAGGAGTTACAAAAAAATTAATTTTGTTGTGGCTTGGATGCATTAAAAATGCTCCTGTTTCGGTTAGATTGCAGAGTAAAAAAGTCAACGATATTACTAAAGAACTTTTAGCTTTCAGACTTTCAGTATGTAGTGACTTTTCTAGAGTTCCTCGGGGGCTGAATGAAGTTGCTAGGTGGAAGGCAACTGAATTTCGTCAATTTCTACTTTATACAGGCCCAGTTGTCTTACAAACCATTTTAAATAATGAATATTACTTACATTTTCTATGTTTACATGTTAGTTTTCGAATTCTTTTAGCACCAAATGTAAGCACAGACCTTGTTAATTTTGTTGAAAAAATATTAAAATATTTTGTCGACAAATTTTGTGAAATTTATGGTAAAGAATTTATATCACTTAATGTACACAACTTATTACACATTGTTGATGACTATAAAAAGTTTGGTGCCCTCGATAGTTGCTCATGTTTTCCATTTGAAAACTATATGAAAACTCTAAAAAAAATGATACGAAAACATGAGAAACCATTGGAACAGGTTGTAAAACGATACCATGAATTTCAAATGTTTAGCGAGTATGAATTGAATACAAGGTCTAGGTCTAGTATCAATATAAAATATTTAAAGATATATAGTGGTGGACCATTGCCCGAAGACTGCATAAAACCGGAATTTAAAATTGCTATAAAAGATAATATAAAAATTAATGTAAAATCATTTTCTGATGCTTACATAGGTTATACTTTTGGAGGCAAACTTAATATTTTTAAAGTTGTTAATATATGTGTTACTTATTATAATAAGTTATATTCACGGCCTTATAAGATCTACTAAGCCTGTGGTTATATATATTAGTTAACTTTTTTACATACAAAAATATCTGATTTTCTATAGTGATATTTAGTGATTTTTTTCAATTGTTTTATAGGTTGTACTACACTATTACAAACAATAATTGACAGTGGTTCTCGAAACTGTAGTAATTCATCAGTTGATAATGGTTAGTTTATAGCATAATAGGTATATCAATACCTACTAGCAATTAAAACTGTATTAGTTTAAACTTCAAACTTGTTATAGGTACTCAAAAAATATTAAAGTCTATATTAAGAAATATAGTATATATTCAAACTGACATTAAACATCTAAGTATGCAATAAAAAGAAATTCTATCTAAATTAGATAGTACATCAATGTTAAAAAACAACATTAAGTGTTCATCTAACAATGAATTCTTAGACGACTTCAACTGGCCAATAAACGATCTTGAATATCTTGAAGTTATTGAAGAAAAAAATAAGAGATAAAGATATGCGTGACTATTTGGTATGCAAATAATTAATTTAAATTTTTTATACATAAAAATAAACAATGAAATATTTATTTTAGGTAAATGATTTGTCACATTTGGGAGGAAATTCTGTTAAAGCTATTATAAAAAGAATAGTTTATAAATTATTTACTGATGTCTTACTATCCAATTTTTCATTTACTGGCAAAAAGGGAAAACAGAAGTTTTGTAAATTAAATTTATGTTCAGTAATTTTTGGTAAGAATAATACCGTTTGAGGTATCTAATTATTAATATATAATATAATTTGAACTTACAATTAAAATCTATTAATGCAACACCACTACTGATGAGGTAGCAGATCTAGATTCTAACCTTTATTTATAACTTAAATTACAGATATTTGTAATTGCTTATAGATGCAGTTAAAAATCAAAACAAAGTAAAGAACGTCGACCAAAATGAAATGGAGGAACGATTAAAATACCATTTAGCACAAGCTCCGTTTAGTGTAAAAAGATTAAATGACAAAATAATTGAAAATATATAATTAGTTGTTTATCAGTATTTCTTGTAATAACTTTTTTTCTCATTAATCTTATAATTTTATATTGGCTATACAAATACCATAAGTTACAGTTTTTTCTTTTCATATTATTATATTTTATTATATTCATGAGTATATATAATTAATATATAATAAATTGTTCATACATCAAAGTAATACAATTTTATATTCCTAAATCCAACTCTTCAATTTTTTTTTGTAAAATATTTATTTAATATTATAATGTATTAGTGTTCATTATGGGGGGGGGGTTATACAAATCTTAATAAATAGTGTATTTTAATAATAACTATGAAAAAAATAATTTCCAAGTGCATAATATGAGACAAATTTTAGAGGGGGGTTGCACCCCATAAAACCCCTTCTAAGGTACTTGTGAGTATTATGTATTTATAATAATATAATATTGTATTTTCTATACAATAAATGATACATATCTTTAAGATCTAAGTTTAATGCAATATTAAAATATAATATTGTTGAGGTATTACAAAGCAATTTTAAATAAAGTTTAGTTTTTAAAGTTAGTTAAACATTACAAAAGGGTTCAAACAATGAAATTTAAACTTTAATTAAGCTTTAATAAACATTTATTCAAAGATTTATAAATGTTGATTTAATATTTCTTAATTCAATATTTAATATTTAATATTTAATAGGCTTTTATTAAATATATCTATGCTGTGTGGGGAGGATTGACTCAATCATGGCTATGAGCTCAAGCCGAGTTACCAGAGCTTGAGCGAGCAGTCTGGACCTTTGTGCTGTGTCGTCAGGTAGAAGCTCTGTTCGGGGGCCACACAGAATTTCCTCCATGTCTTCAGCAACCGGTGGTCTCCGCAGAATTGCAGTCATACGACAGCGGTCGTCCTCCCACCTCGGACAAGCGAACAGGGTGTGCTCGGCTGTATCTTCAGGGTCCATGCAGTAGAAACAGTAGCTGTCGGCAGCCCGATTCACTCTATGCAGGTACCCTCCGAAACAGAAATGTGGTTGGCCTAAGTCAATTAATGAGGATGGTGAGCAATAATACTAAGACTAAAACAAAAAGGGGTAGGGTAATTAAAAAACTATAATAATTTTGTTTATTTACTATTAATTTATTATTTTGTTCCATTTAAGAAATTGTGTTATAACTTATAATGTAATATAGTAATTTTGTTTTGTATACTGTTAATATCTTGTTATTTTATTATCTTGTTTTGTTAAATTTCCTGAAAAACAACAGATTAATAATCAAACAAAGTATGATTTCATAAACCATTTTGTTATTTAATACAAGGCTGGGCATTAACGAGTTAATAAGTTAAAGTTAAGTTACTTTTAACTAAGTTAAGTTACTTTTATTTTCTAATTAACTTGTAACTTTTGTGAGTTTAAAAAAAAAAGAGGTAACTTTTAACTTAAAGTTAACTTGCCAAGCCTTGATTTAATAAAATATGAAGTTTCTTTGAATTGAATTGTATAACGCATATCTCCAGAGTATATTCAGTTAATGTATCTCCAAACCAGTTGGAAATCTGAAAATAATAATACAAAAAATATATCAATTTAAAATATTTTATTAAATTATAATTTTTATTTTAATAATTTTATGGATAGTTATATTTTTAAAAGTTTAAAGAAAAATTAAAAACTACATATTTTTATGTAAAACAATTAGAGTGTCTAGATTATCTGGCAATAGTCTATTTCTTCTAGCACTCATTATTTGTCCTGTTTTAGAGAAGATTCTTTCGGAAGGAACAGATGTCGCTGGAATCATGGTATACTTTAATGCAATTTCGCTCAGAGAATGCAATACAGATTTATGGTTAAGCCACCATTCAGCCACATTACAATTTAAATTTTGATAAGGCATGTTTAAATATTGTCTCATCAAACTCATAGCACTGCTAGTTGATGTTGTTTGACCCTGCACGTTACTAACTCTACTCTGTAAAAAGTTCCAAAGATTTTCAGAGTCCTCCTCAATTTGGTCTGTAGGAACTTCACGTTCTAAAATTAAAATAAGTATGATGTAAATGAAAAATTTAATAGAACAGTAATGGTCATTGGTCACTTATATTTATTAAGTATTTACATATCAATTAAATATTTACCAGTATCTTTTAATGTATTATTTGTCATACTTGCTACTTCCGAAACAATACTTTTCTCGGCATCAGAAGCATTTTCCTCAACTGCAAAAGCAGCTTTTTTGCATCTTGGGTCTAAGAGAGTGGCACGAGAAAAATATGGAGTTAGGGATTGTTTTTCAATCCTTTCAAAACGCCTATTTATTTGTAATGTTAAATTTGATTTTATAAATCTTCCAAGAGGTGTTTTTGAAATTTTAGAATTTAATGAAGTTTGCAATCCTAAATATAAAACAATGAATACAGTATAAATTAAATCTAACTTTTAAAGTAAATCATTAATTACCTCGTAATAATGGTACAACTTTTGATATTGTAGGATACTATTCAGCAGACAACTCTATTGTTAAGCTGTTAAATGGTCGCAATAGGGGTACTATATCTTCAATAATGACCCATTCTTCAGGTGTAAGGTTTGAAGGAACCTCTTTAACTGATATCATTATCACTGTGAGGGGCTCTTTTAATTTCACTAATCTTTCCAACATTATTAGTGTGCTGTTCCATCGTGTACGAACATCTTGTTTGAGTTTCAAGAGCTGAGTGAATCCTAGTTGCCTTTGTTTTTCCCCCAAAATCCTATTCCCCACTTCACTTCGTTTAAAAAAACCCACAATAACACGACATTTCTTTAAAATTAATTTAATTTTCACTGAATCGAGTTCATTTGATTCATCTCCAACTGAATCGTCTTCGTTGAGGTATAAGGCTTTTTGGACTACAAGATTAAGTTTATGAGCAGTACAAGGAATATGCTGTATGTTCATTAATCTTATAGCCGACTTGATATTAGCCCCACTATCAGAAACAATGGCCGTTACTTTATTTAATATTCCCCATCTATTTAACTCACTGGTCATTATTTCTTCCAAATGAGTTGCTGTATGACTCTGATCTAGTTTTTTTGTACCAAGGACAACTATTTTCAGTTGGCTTTGGCCTTTTGGAAAAAAATGAGCTGTTATAGTTAAAAACGAATCGGTGTTAATTGAAGTCCAAATATCAGTAGTAAGAGCTATAAAACTGGTATCATTTAAAAGAGTCTGAACCTTATTTCGAACATTTGAATATATACTAGGTATTATAGTTCGACCAAGTGCCCTTCTGCTAGGAATTTGATACCTGAAATTAGTTGTAATCTTTTTATATTTGTTTTGTTGTTTTATTTATTAAAATTATTTTTTGTATTTTTTGATTGTTTATGTATATTATGTATAATGTTTAGTAAATAAGATAAATAAAAAAAATGTATGTACATATCTACTTCATGGTTTTTACTAACTATTTAATCTATTTAATGTTTTACTTATGAAAGTTTTCTTTAATTGTATTACAATTGAAATACAAAATATTTTATTCATTTATATTTACCTAGAGTCCAATAGTTTAACCATATTTCTAAAGCCTTCATTTTCCACAATGGATAAGGGTTGCAAGTCCTCAGCTATCATCCTAACAATCGCTTCATAAAATGCTTTAATTTGCAATTCTGATGGTGCTCCAAATCTAGAACAACACTTATTAAGTAATAAATAGTTCAGATGTAAAAATGTAATTATAACATATTATTATAAATAAAAATTATCTAGTTATAAGTATAGAAAGTAGAAAATACTATTGCTTATGTTTTATAAGTAATAACTAGATCAGTAGTTCTCAACCTTATCTTAACTGTATATTTAAAAATTATTCTATTACTATAAAAAAAAAAAAAAGTTTAAAACGTTGATATTAATATGAATATAATAATATGATTTTTATAAAATGATATCAAATTTAGTTAAAACTTATAGAGAGATGATATAAAATTATTAAATTTAAATAGTTAATGAAAATATATAATTTTTAGAGCTATACATTTTTTTGAGGACATAATATTTAACTGCATATTTTTAAATGCATATAATATGATGATTTTTAAGTGCACGAAAATCCTTGCTCTAGTAATAACTATCATTCAAACCAGTTGAATTAATATTTTTTCTGATAACTAAAATATCAGTTATTTGATTTGGCCATTAGGTGCTAATAATTTTTTCAAAATAAAAATATTTAAAATATGATATTTTTTGTTGTAATATACTTTTACCCTATTTGTATACTTAACCTAAAGTTGTATTTAACTAAACAACATAACTCATGTTTCTGAAACCTTCTAGAGGTTGATATATCCAAACCAGTTGGAAAAGTCCACGCTGTAAACTAAAAAATAAACTCATTTAAGATTTATACTAATAAAATACACATTTATACCATTAGTCATAATAAAATGTAGTAACATTAATTGAGTTTTACCTATTTGACAATACAAGTTGTTTTTGTTTCTTTAAAGGTGGCTCAGATTCAGTTGTTGCCATTGTAGGCTCATTACAATTGTTGTTGGTACTAAAATAACTGACAGGTAGGTTGGACGAAGTACTTTGTGGTTGGGAATGTTGGGATCCTATAGACGTTCCTGTAAAATATACAAATTAATTTAGTAAGAAATGTCCTACACTAGTATAATAGTATATTTATTTATTTCTATAAATTAAATTGCATATAATTAACCTGGCTCGTCAATGCTCCCCTGTTCCTGGCTTTGTAGAAGCATATTATCACGGTCTAAAATGCCCATATGTTTTCTTTTTAAATGTTCCATCAAATTCGATGTTCCATTTGACCTTTTGTAAGTACTTTTACAAATTAAGCACTGCGCTTCATTTTGGTTATTTGTATCCATCTCAAAATATTTCCACACCATAGAACTATTTTTTTTAAGCCACGACATAATTACTATTATTATTGTACTAATATAGTAAATAGTACCTAATAGTAAACAAACAAAATTGAAAATAACAAGTGGCAACTGAGAAACTGAGAAACTGACAACCAAAAATTACTTGTTAAATATTATTTTATATTTAATAATAAATAAATAATATTCAAATAGTAAATATTCAATAATTCTTACTCGAATATTAGAATTGATAGAATAATAATAATAAACTGATAAAGTGATAACAAAATAGTTACTGATTAACAATAGTTATTCAATAATAAATAAATAATATATAAATTTTTTTTTTTTATAAATTCTACATGAAGCGAAAAATGTTTTGGTTATACAATGATTTTTTTTTTTTTGATTTTTTTTCTTCTTTTTTTTACTTGGCTAATTTTAACACGGAGTTAGACGGAGGGTTTTTGTTTTGATAATAATATAGTATAGTGATAAAGGTGATTCAATAAATATTTAAAATAATAAAATAAATAATAATTGAATAATAAATGATTATTCATTCGAATAATAAATCGAATAATCGATATCGATTATTCAGATAACTAATTTAGCAAGACTATCGAATAATTCGATAGTTATTATTCAATAATGCCCATCACTAGTGATTTCTCCGTTATTCTGATTTAGCGATTTAATTTCTTGACTTCTTGTCGTTGTAAGCTTTTGTCCATTTGTGCTCTCAGACTTCAATACGTTGAATTTACTCCGTTATTCGTATAACATAAGTATTTAATTATTATTATTTAACACTATTACATAGGTACATACTACATAATATTTGTCGTTTACAAGCACTCGATCCGTCTAATTATTACAATTCTATAAATTATTTATAATATATAATATTCAATGTGTGGCGTCATATTATGAAAGCACACTAAAAGTTGGGTATTAAAAAAATAAAATAAAATAGCTGTGGACACTTTAATAAATCATAACTTACCACACATTTACTGATACATCTTCAAAATTATTCAACTTCCCTATGTACCTACCCATTTATTTTTATTTTGAAGCGTATTTATTGTGCTATCAAACAATATACATAAATTAAAAATTAAACCAAACTTAACAAACAATTTTATTGAATAAAAAATTGTGAAAATTGTTTATTAATATCACGGTATATTATAATATACCGTGATTAATATTATCATTTTATATTGACTTAATAGTTTTATGTTTATTCACTTTTATTTAATTTAAATTGTAAATTTCTTGTGTATTAATGTTATTATTTGATAAATAATAAGCAATTAATTTAACTCATAAGTTATAATATAAAAATATATAAATAAAAGTTGAATAGTTTTGAAGACATATCAGAAAATATGTAATACACGTATACCTAGGTTAAGAATTAAAATTGCCCATAACTAAAAAAATAAATCACTTCTTCCCTACACACACATTGTATATTTTCTATAGTAAATAGTAATAATTGTAAACAACAAATTATTATGATAATTTAGATTTAATTGTATTATTAACTATTTAAATAATGAACAATTTCTGGAGGTAGTTAAGTTTAACTGTAATTACTAATTATATTGTTTGTAGTTTAGCTGATATAGGTAGTATTTACAGTATGTACTTCCTTAAATTATAACAATAATGTTAATCGAGTATTTTTTAAAAGAAGTCAGTTTGTACCTTATATTGTTTAAAAAATTGAACTATATGTATGTGTAATTTGTATTATCCTTATCACTAATTTTACCTGGCTATTTAGAAACTTACTAGTTGGCAAGGATTATATTTTTTAACAGAAAACAATTATTAAAAGTAGATACAATAATTGTAGTTGCTAAATTCAGTAGGACCTTAACAATGACATTTTTTAATATAACTTAAAACTATATACAAAATATATGTATGTATAGGTATTGGTGTTGTGCTAATGATATAAATACTCAAACTGAATTTTCTATAAAACAACATTTGCTGTAAAATAATACACTATACCTATGTTAATTTGGCTACTAAAATATAAAAAAATATAACTTACACTTATTAAAAACTTATTACTTATTATATTTATGTATTTAATATAATATAATCAATGACATAACATACATTTAAATAAAAAAAAAGATAATTATGCAAATAATATTTCTAAAAACAATAATCATATATGTTAACTATTTATATATAGAGTTAAATAATATTATTTGTTTTTAGTGGGTTACAGATATTCAAGATTTATTTTTATTTTTTTTATGTGTTTGATTAGTCATAAACTAAATATAAAATAAAAATAATGATTAAAAGTAGTAGAACAAAAAGAAGAAAAACAAGACAAGAAATTAATTTATTTGAGGAAATATATTCAAACCATGAATTAGATGAAAATGCTTGTATGTTATCTGAAGGGCAAAACGTTGAACTAAATGATGGACAAAATATAAATATATTTAAAAACCAAAATATTCCATTTTCAAATTGTAATGTTGTATTTGACAATAATGATTCTGTAGTTGATACTGCCACAGTTTCTCTGTTAATTTCTCAAGTTTATGATGATTTCTTAGAAAACATTACTTCAGTGGAGTCTTGTTCTATATCAGATTTATCAACTTCGTCACCTCAAACATCATCTATCAATGAATTTTTTAGCTAATTGGGTAGTAGAGTTCAACATTTTTCACAATGCAGTAAATGGGTTATTGAAAGGTTTAAAAAATAACCAATATAGTATTAAAAGTATTAAGAATCTTCCATCTGATGCACGTACATTATTGAAAATTCCATCTAATATTTCTAAAGAAATTCGTACTGTTGAACCTGGAATGTATCATCATTTTGGTTTAGCTAATGGAATTCTAAAACATGCTTCACCAAATATTAACAAAATTCAAGTTGTCATAGGTATCGACGGATTACCACTGACTAAAAGTAATAACAGTCAGTTTTGGCCTATACTAGCGTATATTATAGATGAAGCTACATCAGGCGCGTACACAAAAAAAATATTTTGGGGGGGGTTTTGGTTTTAAATTGTTATTCTTATATAATCTAACCTAACGTATAGCCTAACATGAAGTTTACACAATTTCAATTATAGTACTATTTATTTATCATAAAATTCGTAATTATTAAAAAAAAAAAAATCAAATAATATTTAGAAACATGTATTTTTAATTTTTTATAATATAAAATCTTTTTTTCGAGGTAGTCTTGCAAATCTGTTAATGACTTCGTCAATATCAATGTCATAATTTCTATAAATATTCATGAGCGATAATCCTGTTAGTCGGTCTTGTCCAATATTATTTCTTAAATAGGTTTTCAGTCTCCGCAATGTTGAAAATGAACGCTCTGCAGTAACAGTTGTTACAGGCAAAGTAGCTAATATTGTTAAAAGGCACTTTATATTTGGATAGAAATCACTAGACATTTGACTTAGGGTAGTTAATAAACATTTTGGGCGATCATCATCAGATACATTTTGCCACTGTGTTTGCCAGATTTTAATTTCAGTATCAAACGTATCGAAATTAGGTAATAATGGTTTGTAAAACAATGCACATTCCGTAACCTAACACGTGTCAAACATATTATACTAAATTGACAAAAGACATTTCAGATATTATATTATCGTTATCGCATCGGCAATTCCGTAAAACTTCGTTCATTGTTGCTATTGTAATAAAAATGATATCGGCTTGC